AATTCTTCCCAAATCATTTTCCAATGCCCATTTCGTTTATCTAAAAATTGTTGGTGTGCAGCTAAATGACTATTTACAAAACAAAATCGTGTTTCATTCATATCAAATCGAATAGCAACTCCTCCTTTATTTGCTAATCCCATTTTACCAACAGCATGCCATGATGTTTCTATATTTTTCATTAAAGGAACAATTTCTGGTTTAGCAAACATAAATATAACAATACCACATAACTGCTCCATCTTCACAAAATGATAATTTCCTTTTTTCTTTAATGTTTCAAATAAATTATTTTTCCATATAGTTCCTTTTTCTGTAATTCCTCTTCCAGCTACAATACCTGTTGCACTCATGTCAAGTTCTTGTACAGAAGCTACAACAATATCACTATCAAAATCAACAATAAGCCATGGCTCAAGATAATTTGGTTCAAATATATTTTGATCAATATTATATGTATGACAAGATACTTTTAATGGAATAGAGTCCCTATACTCATTACTAAATTTTTCTAACTGATGATATTTCCAATCTTCTGGATTATTTAGATAAAGCAACACCTCTTCTTTTGTTATTTGGTCCTCATAACTTTTATATTTTTCTTCTATCTCATTTAATCTATCAATACTCTGCTGAATAGATGCCTCTCTAAATTCTTTATCTTCATCATTAACTTGGACATTAGTTTCATCAGATACTTCAGTTGGGTCTTTGGTTTCTGTTTTTGGTTTAACAACTTCTCTCACCAATATTTTCTTAAACGTAATAATAGGATCTTGAATTTCAGCAACATCTTTATTCAACTCTCGTTCATTATTGTTAAATAATAAACTAACAACGCTATCATTCATAATATCATTAACCTCTTCATATTTCTCAATTGGACAAGTCACATGATCGATAACTTCTACCATCTTGAAATTTTATTTTTCATCTTAGATCTTTTTTTATTTTTTCTTTGAGAAAAAATGAAATTATAAAATATAGTTCTTTTATTAATAAAAAATAGAAAACGTTGAATTAGTTAATCATTTGCCTTTTTCACAGCAACAGAACATTTAGAGGAACAGGCATTACATTTAATGAAATTAATTCTGTTTTCTTTAATTAATTCAGTGTCAAGTGATTTGCATTCAGGGCATTGAACAAATTGGCTGACATATTTAATAAGGATATTTTCTAATTGATGTGGTTGTAATTTTGCTTTAATAGTAAATCCACCTTTAGCATCAATTGAACCAATAGTCATTAATTCTTCTAATACAAATACTTTGATATCTTCTGGACTTCTATGTAATCTTTTACAAATATCAGTGAAATTTTCCCAAATTACACGTTTTGAACCTTCTCTTACAACCTTGATCTGTGGTAATTCGATTTCTTGTTTTGATGAATTCTGAGAAATATTACATTGTGCAAAGATACGATCCAATAACTATATTTAATTAATATTTTTTTTAATTCTTTCTTTAAAAAGAAACAAACCTCATCATACGTATAAAGTCCTTCATTCTTTTCGTTTTCTGTGTTTTTAGATTTAGGTTTTGATTTTACTTTAACAGAAGTAAAGTCAGGAAGTTCTTTTAAAGCCTTTTTTGTTTTTTTAACTTTCTTAACTTTTTTGACCTTTTTTTCAGTTGTTGGGGTTTCTTCAATAGGTTTATTCTCCTCTTCACTCATCTTTTGTTAATTTCAGATTTCATTTTTTTTTTCTAATTAAATTAAATAACACTTCTTTTTCTATCTTCTTGAGATAAAATTATAAGAATTAATTAAATTATAGTTTAATTATAATAAAATCAACCGAATCATTAAAAATTCAAAGGATTTGGAGTTGGTGTAAAGAATCATGTACTTCATTAATAAGAACATCAATCGAACAATTTAACCTATTTGCAATTGAATTATAAATATGTTGTAAATCTACAAAATGGGTTTCATCATTATCAGTTTCTATAAGTAGTCTTTTATTTTCAAAAGCAATTTTGAGAGAATTATTAATTTTAATATTATTATTGTTTAATACAGCTCTTCCAAATGATAACCAACAATTCATAGATATTAATTTTTTAGCAACTTCATTTGAACTATTAAACCCATGATAAATCCAACGTTGATTTATCCATTTCTTTTTTAATAGAATAATTTCATTTACCATATTAACACAATGTATATAAACAGGTAGATTATAACGTTGATTTAATTCAATTTGTTTCAAAAACCATTTCTTTTGAGTACTAATAGAGTTAGAAGTTAATTTATTATCCAATCCACATTCTCCAATTGCAATTATTTGATTTTGTTTCACCAATTGTTCTAGTACTTGTAGTTGTTTTTGACAAAGAGTTTCATCTCCACAATGCCAAGGATGGATTCCAAAACTAATAAGTTGTCTATAAAAAGATTCAGAGGTGTCATTTTCATTGAGATTTAAAATACATCTATAACTAGAAGGTAAATGACAATGACAGTCAATCATTATTTTCTTAACAAAAATAATTACAAATGAGTTTCTTAAAATATAACTATGAAAAAATTAGTAAAATAAACTGAAAATATTTATCTTTTTATGAACTTAGCAAAGGAGTTCAAAGTCGCTGTAATTGGTGATATTGGAGTTGGAAAAACATCTTTGTTAATGACACAAAAAATCCAAAGTTATGAAGAAAAATTTGGGAATGGCGAAATAAACTATTCTTTTGAATTTGAGATAAATAAATTACCTATTGTATTAAAAGTTTGGGAAGTAGATTGTAGTGAGAGTTATGATGAATTTAGACCATTAAGTTATCGAGATACAGATTGTTTTGTAATTGTCTTTTCTTATGTAGATAAAGATACGTTAGTTCATGCTGAACGGAAATGGTTACGTGAAGTAAAAAATAATGTCACAGATCCAATAGTAATCTTTGTAATGACTAAAGTTGATTTGAAAAGTGATCAAAATTCAGAAGATATAACAACTGACAAGAAAATTGTAACAGAAGATTTATTAGAGTCATTTAAATCAAGGACTGAATCACATTTTCTTTATGAATGTTCATCAAAACAAGTTGGCGATGTTAGACTTCTTTGGAATAAAATAGCTGAAATTATCTGTGACTCGAAAAAAACAAAAAGAAAAAGAAAGTTATCAACTACAGAAAAAATTAAAAGCCTTTTTATTTAAATCTATTTTGTGTTATTTTAATTTGTGTTCAAGATGAAAAAATCTCTACAAAATAACTTTTCTTTAAGAAATGTCTTTTGAAGTGGAATGATCTTCTTCGATTAAAAAAATAAGTATCTTAATCAATAAAAAACTAGAAATCTGAAAAACTAATTACAAGATTTAGTAATAAAATTGGGAGCAGAAAACAAAGAAAAAGCAGTTAATAGTGAAAGAAAGTATCAAGGTTAAAACTTAGTAGCAATTATCAAAAAAAAATAACTATAATAAAACTATCAAAAAACAATATGAATTTTTTGGTAAGATATATTAAGAAAAAAATTACTACTTAAAAAGAGTTTCATCTTAAAAATTTATAAATATATGGCACCAAGAAGTGTAGCTCTTTATCTTAAATTATTTGCTGCCAGTTGTTGTCAAATGGGAATTCAATTTTCCTTTTCTGCAATTTTTGGATTGAGTGGACCATTATTTGGAACTCAATTCCAAATGAATGGTACAGGGGTGAACGTTATATTTATGGTTGTCGGTCCGCTGATTGGACTTTTTGTTCAACCTATTTTTGGTGCTATCGGAGATAAATGTACATTCAAATTCGGAAGAAGAAGGATTTTCTTAGTTGTTGGTGCAATTATTGATATACTTGGATTATGTATTATTGCTGCATCAACATTTATTGACCAAGGCATGAATGATGGGTCAGAAGAAACAACTTTTAGTGATCATTTAGTTGGTACATTCTTAGCATTATTTGGATTGTTTGTAGCTTTCTTTGGTGTAAATATTATGCAAGCACCATCTCGTGCTATTGTTAGTGACATTTTTGATGCAGAAAATCAACAAGATGCTAACCTTATGATCAACGCATGTTCTGGATTTGCTTCAATTGCATGTTATGGTATTTCTGCTGGAACAGTTGGTTCATCAAGCACATTCCTTATTATGTTTGCATTATGTGCTATTGTTGTACTTATTTCTACTATTCCAACAGTTCTCTTCTCTAAAGAAGAAAGATATATTCCTGAAGAAGGAAAGAAACTTAATATTTTTGCACCATTTATTGATTTGTTCCATGCTATTAAAATGATTAGATTAGATATAATTTTCATTTTATTAGCACTTATGTTTGGTTGGTTCGCTTTCCAACCATTTAATACAAACTTTACTAATTATATGTCTAAATCTGTTTATCCAGATGGTTCAAGTGATGATGGTCTTAGAATGGGTCTTATTATTTTCTGTGTTTTTGCTGTATTCCAATGTTTATCAGTATTTATATTCCCTATTATTTCAGGTATTATTGGAGAAGTTACTACATTCCTTCTTTTCCAATTCCTTGCTGGTATTTCTTATAGTATGTTATGTGCTCTTTATTACACTTTCCCATCTAATTACCAAGATGATAACTCAAAACCTCAATTTATTTCCTCACTAACACTTGGATTTTTGTCATCAATCTTCCCTGCTATGGCATTTGTACAAACTAACTCACTTCCTTATTCTATGCTCAAAAAAGTTGTTCCAGAAGATAGGTTTGGTGCCTTTATTGGTTTAGCTAATTGTGCTGTAGTTTTTGCTCAATTCCTTTCATCTGGTCTTATTGCTCTTCTTCAATTAGCTTGGGACGATTATCTTCTTCCAATTATTGTCTCAGCTGTATCAAGCTTCCTTGCTGCTGGTATTTCAGTAGTTTTGTATTGTGTTAAGACAAGTGAGGAAAAAGACGTACTTCTTAAACAAGCTAATTAATTTGATACATTTTCTTTTTCTGTTATATTTCTAAAAATGATTGGTAATCAATAATAAAAAAGTTGTAGTAGTAATAATAGAATTAATAAAAGCTATTCTTTACCATGATTTTTACTTTATCATATAAAGATATAACTATCTTACATGGATTTAATATAAAAGGCTCCCCATCAGTTTGTGCTGGCTTTTTTTCTGTAAGCTCTAATTCAATAACCTTACCTTGTGCTATTTTAACAGGTTTTTGCATTCCAGACATAATTAATGGAATTTCAATTATTGACTTAAATCCAACTACTTCAACTAATCCATCTCCAAAATTGCTATCTTTTAGTCCTCCAATAGTTTCGTCTGGAGTAACTCTATCCCAAAACTTAACTCCCCCTCCGTAAGTTACTAAATTTAAAAAAACTAACCCTTGCATTGGCTCTAATTTTATTCTTTTTCCATCTACTATTAATGTAATAACCTTATCAATATCTCCAGAGTCTTCTGTTAGTGCTTGTGGTGAACTAAATACATATTGAATTTTATTTATTATTCTAGAGTTGAAGGCATCAGGATTAGCCTCTCTTCTTAAATGGAAGTTTAAAGCAATGCCAGCATCTAACCCAATAGAGAAATAATTATTAAATATTAATTTTCTTGTTTCTCCAACAATTTCTGAATGGATTGATACTTGCCATCTATCTAATTTTTGAACTAATGCCTGGGATACATTCCTAAGTAGATCTTCAATATCTTCCCCATTATATCCTCCTCCCCATCCAGTACAATGTGAAAGATCATTACCAGTACCTAAAGGAATAACAAAAATCTTTGGTTTTAACTCAGCTTTTCTTAATTCATTCATTACCCATCCAACTGTACCATCTCCACCGCAAACTACAGCAATGAAGTTATCACCATATGGTTTAATATATTCAAAAGTTGGTTCAAATCCTTTAAACACATCACAAACTTGAGGAATTGAAAACATGTACTGAGTTTCCTTTAGAATTTGTTCACCAAGTAAATTACCACTTTTCCGATTAATAAAGAATATCATTGGCTCTTTATCAAATCGTTTTATTGCTTTAAAATGAAATTCACTATCCATTTCTGTAACAGAAGGAGAAAGGATATATTTGCCTAATACTCCATGATAACAAAAAGCAGGGGCATGTTGAATACATTGAGGATGAACAAACATTCCACAATAACAACATCTAAAATCAGTTAAAGCTAGGCTACTTCCTACTGACTTTTTACAAACATAACATGTGTGAGTTGTTAACCCAGTTGAATTGCAATTTCCTGGAACAAACCAATGATATTCTTTATTTGATGGTGATGCAACAGGTCTACATAGATGAGACAATCCATGAACACATTTAGAATGTACATAACATCCACATATTCTACATTTTAATACACCTAAGGCACATGAAACAATAGAACTTCTACATACAGTACAAAATGTTGGAGACATTCTCACCGTCTTTTCAAGAATATGCTGTCCATTTATACAATGATTGTGCATTTCTTCTAATGAGGAAGACTCTAATGAATTAGATTGAGACTGATTTTGTGGTAAAAAGCAAGGTAAATAACAATACCCAGTACAATCTTCATGAACTAATAAATTACACGTTTCACATTTTACTGCCCGACTGAATGGAGTAATACTTGAGCCACAAACATCACAACAAGAAGCAATTGAAGTAGTTATTTGAAATTTATGTGCGTTTACATGAAGATTACAAAGAATAAAATCATTAACAGGAATGAGTCGTGGTGTTTGGCTCATTAATCTTTTTGAATATGAAAATAAAAGTTCTAAAAGTAATAGTATTAAATAAAATAACTTCAAAAATACTGAAGAATGAAAACAAAGAATAAAAACATTTTAGGGAGGATAAATACTAAAAAAATAAAATATTTCATATTTTTTTTTAAATACTTATTATTTTGTGAAACATTTTTGTTTTAAATATCACAAATTGAGTATTTAATTAGGAGTCATGATTCTTCAGGCATTATTTCTTTATGAAACTAGCCTATGTCTGGAAATGATGGGACTTTCTGGTTTAGATTTATTTAGTGGGAAATGAAACTTATCTTCTGTTTTAGGAGTAAAGTCCCATAATATATTTTTAGAGCTAATGAATAAAATAAAATTGAATATTTCTTTGAACACCTCATCTTCCTACGACACCCAGAATTTCTTTTTTTTCATAATAAACAAATCCACTGAACAAAATCCCGAAAAATAGCTCTCAAAAAAAAAGAAAAGTTATTTTTGTAGAAAAATGGGAAGAATAAAAATAGAAACAGAAGGTTTGAAAGAGAACTTATGTAATTTGTATGGTACCAACCAAAGATTTAAACGAGATTAGAGAAAATCTAGTAAGTTAATCATGAGTTCTTTACTACAACAAACATCACAGCTATTTGTCCAAAGTTATCAAAGTGATAATATTGCATTCAAAAGTACTAAACAATTTCCTGAGAAAAAAAGTTTCTTAGAATTAGAATTAATACAAAAGATTTTATTTCCTGATTTCTTTACAAGAAGAGATAAAAGAACCTTCAGTAATGTTTTAGAAAGACTTTCATTACTTGTTTATCATATTCAAAATTCTATAGAAGCTTATTATAACCAACAACTAGCTGAAAAATGTATTACTGCTCTTCTTAACCAGTTTGTTACTATTAGAGAGTTAGTTAAACAAGACATTATTGCTGCATATGCTGGGGATCCTGCTGCATCCAGTCTTGCTATGATTATTCGATCTTATCCCGGTATTCATGTTATGATGATTCAAAGAGTTGCACATATTTTATACATAAATGGTGATATTGAATATTCAAGAGAACTTATGGAAAGTATTCATAGTGTTACAGGAATAGATATTCATCCAGGTACATCTATTGGAAATCATTTTTTCATTGACCATGGTGTTGGTGTTGTTATTGGTGAAACAGCAGTTATTGGTAATTGGTGCAGAGTGTATCAGTCAGTAACACTAGGTGCAATGAGTTTCAAAGAAGATAATGGTATTGTTATAAAAGGAAATAAACGTCATCCAACTATAGGGGATTTTGTAGTTATTGGGGCAGGTGCTAAAGTTCTTGGAAATATTACTATTGGAAGTAATGTTAAAATTGGTGCAAATTGTTGGATTACACAGAACATTGACCAAGACCAAATTGTCTTTATTTCTGAACATCCATCTCAAATAACTAAATCATCAACAAAACAGTCAAGCAAAGATGACAAAATAATTTTACAATCACTAACTGAAAATAAAATCTCAGAAGAACAAGAAAATTTGAGTTGGGTTAATTCACCTGAGCTATTGTGTACTTATACTTCTGAAGAATCAACCCCAATTAACTTAGATTGTTTTGTATCTTGTCAACAGTAACTTCATTTATTTTTTTGCAATTATTTTTTTGTTTTTATTTTATGTTACTTTTCACATATCATTATTATAATAAGTAGATTGCAATCTTATCTTATCTTCTTTGATAATTATCATCTTAAATCTATTTAATTAATGGAGGTTATTGATAACGCATTAAGTACTATTAAAGATGATGATATTATTACAGGAAAACAACTTAAACAAATAATCACACCTATTAGTATTGTTTTATCGACTCTATCTATTCGTGTTTCTGTAATAGATCATTTACCTGTATTTGCTGGTTCAGGAATAAATACAAAAAAGAGGAATGAAGTAAAATCTCCATTACTATCTGCTCTCCATACATTATCCGAACTAGAAGATGATAAAATTTTCTTAAAATTAAAGGGATGGGTCAACGGAAATAAGGCTATGGTGATTTATGATACAGAATATGATGAATGGAATTCAAATACATTTAACAAAAAAATTATGTCAAAAGGCAATATTAGTTTGTTAGTGTTTACAGAGGATAAAGATGTATTTGGAATTCATTATAAAATTCCAAAAGTTGATGTTCAGTCAAGTTTAGTTGACCAGAACCATTTTATTTTTTCAATTGAACGGCATGGAAAACCTACAAATAAAATGTGGAAATCTACTCAAGAAGAAATATCTTGTTTAACACTGTTTGAGTCAGGGTCTTTCCTTTTTAAAACTCCTGCATTTTCTATTCAATCAGTTAGAGGAAGAAAAGGGTCTTATGTTCAAACAAAATTATCTCAGTTCTACCCAATGTTAAAAGAGTCAAAACTGACATATATTCCGTATCCATCATTTTTTGAGGTTACAAGGATAGTTGGAGTTGAATGGGTATAAACTTCAAACTAAAATTAAAAAACAAAAATCCTTTTAATGTTTTATAATTTAACAAAGAAAAATAATACTGTTTTGGGTTGTTTTAAAAATATTTGAACTATATTTATTAAAATAAAAAAGTCAATAACACGTGGCTTTGAGTATTTTAGTGAGAAAAACTTTATAAATTGAAATTAATAAATAAAGGATGAACATGGATTTATTTTATGATCGAAGAAGTGTCCGTTCATATACTGGAGAAAAAATTTCTGAAGAAGATATCGATAAAATTGTTCGTGCTGGTTTTTATGCTCCAACTGCAGTGAATAAACAAGAAACTGAGTTTATTATTATTAGAGAAAAATCACTATTAGAAAATATCACAAAAGTTCATCCTTATTCTTCAATGTTAAAATCTTGTAGTCATGCTATTGTTGTTTGTGCTAATTTAAAGAAAGCATATACACCTGAATATTGGGTTTGTGATGCTTCTGCTGCTACTGAAAATATCTTGCTTGCTGCTCACATGCTTGGTTATGGGGCTGTATGGCTAGGAGTATATCCAGAGAAAGATAGAATGGAGTCTATAAAAAAACTTCTTCAATTACCAGAACAAGTTGAAGTTCTTTCTATAGTATCAATAGGAGTCTCTAAAGTTCAACCAGTAAATAGACCTGAAAGATTTGATGCAACTCGTTTACATAATGACAAATGGTAAAAAAATAACATTTAGTATTTATTTTTTTTTAACTGAAGAATTAACAAATGCATAATTTAGATATCAATTTTAATAGAAAAATCAATAATGTTATTATTGATTTCAGTACTTTGTTGTTTCAATTGATTATAAATCATCGGAGAACATGAAGTAAGTTTTAATGCAACAGTAATAGTTTTGATAGCACTTTCTATTGAATTACATAATAATATTTGACTTTTTGATTCTAACGCAATAGTTTCTGCAATTACCTCACTAACAGTCATTCTTTTAATAAATAGTATTTCTTCATTATTTATAAAACCTCGTTTTAATGCATCAGTACAAATTGTCACCACAATTTTATTAATTAAGTCAAAAGGACATGCCTTTATAAGAGATTCAATTGAATTGTCTGGTGCTTTACTTCCAATTAACTTCATAATGAAGTCTTCTTCAAAAGTAAATAGATTTAAGTCTATTCCCTTTAAAAGAATACAGAAAGCATAATAACCTTCACTTCTATTATAGTTATAATTTTTAATAAATTCTTTTGTGACTTCAATAACGTCTTTGATTTGAAAGTGATTCAAGTCACATAATATTTTTAATATCTTCATTGTTCCATTTTCTCCTTTTTTCACTAATTTTAGAATTTCTTCATTGAATGATTCACATTGTACTAGTTTGATTGATTTGATAATGATTGATGATGCTTCTACAATAAACATCTTCAATAATGGAGTAATTTTTTCAAGAAATTCTTGTGCAAGAGAAACATCAAGTATTAAGTCTATTGTGGAGAATATTTTATTTAATGAACTTGGAGATACTATAGCAGTAACAGAGCTAATGAAATCAAATATATTTCCAAAGTGTTTATATGTCTTAATAAATGAGCATATTAAATCAACTAAAAATGGGTTTGTTGCTCGTTGAGATATATATGCTATATTGTTTTTTCTTTCTACATATTGTTTTAGTGGTTGGTCTATAACAATCTCTAACATTTCTTTTTGAGTTTGTTCTATCATACTTGCTTGTTCATAAAATAAAATATATGCACTAGATGATTTTCCTCCAAACCATGTTTCTCCTTCAGCAGCATTAACTGACCTATCATTAAAACAAACCCATTTACCATTGATTAATCTATTACTAAAATAATGACCTCCATGTGCATCTCCATTATGAATAACAACTCCAACTAATTTATACATAGTTTCTCCATTATAACCATCACAACAATATTTTTTCATATCAAGTTCATTTGGATATTCAAATTTTCCATTATATTTTACAATTTCAAATTGGTCATTATACACAAATCGTTTTAAATGAAAGACTAATGTTTCTGGTAATTCTTTATATCTTTCACTTCTTTGAGCATCATTTTGTTTTCCACATTGCTCACATCTATAATCACAAAGAATAGACCCTTCACATAATGCTTGTAATGATTGTTCAATTGTTTGGTAGTGTTCTACTTCAAGAGCACTACAATAAAATTGTTCAGTTCGTTTTACTTCATGCCCACATTGACTTCCAATTGATATTTCCATTTCTCCTGTAAACACTTTTGATCCTGAAACAATACTTTCATAATGTTTACAATTTTCCATTGATGACATTGCTGTTGTAAAAAATTCTTGAGCATCCATCTGTTCATATGTTTTAATATTTTCATAACAACTTCCATGTGCTTCTTTACAAAATTCTTTTGTTTGAGTTGCACTATTAATTCCTTTTAACATATCAACAAATAATTTTTGAAGTCCAAATATCATTCGATAATCTTTGAACTCATTCTGGTTATATGTAATAAATTGTCCCTCTTTATTAATATCCTTTTCAGTGTCATTTACTTGATTATTAACATCAACCGTTATTTCTTTTTTTTCTTGTTCTTCTTTTGGTTTATTTTTTTGGTTATCAGTATTTTCTATTAAAGTTGGTATTTTAACTTCTTTTTTTAATAAATTGGCTGTACAACGTGAAGAATGAAATATTTGTTGTAAAACACTGTTCATATAACATGTTGATCCTTGGTTAACTAATCCACCGAATTGCCCTTTTCTATAAGTAGCCTTTTCATTGCAACCATTCATCTCTTTTAATATCTGATTAAAATGATTAAAACAGTGTGAACAAGTAATATCATTCATACTTTCAACACACTCACATAATAATATGATTAGGTTATTAATTTCATCATCCTTTAAAATATTTTTCCCTTGCATTGGAAATAATTTATCTATAATATCACAGAAATAAGGAATTAACAATACTTGTTTTTTCTTCATTGTTTTAAATGCTCTAACAGCGACATTAAGTCCATACCCAAACTTAGTAAGATTTTGTATTAATGACTGAATAAATGGATGGTCATTTTCACAGTTTTCATCTGCATACTCAATAATGATTCTATTACATTCTTCAACAAGTTTTGGAGGTTCATTTAATAAAGGAACAACAGAGTCAAATATTTGTTTATTAATACCATCTTTTAATGCCCTCAGAATTGGAGCAGTAAAAACATCTTTATCCCAAGGAATATTTCTTCCGTTTTTTAATAAAAGAACAAGACATAAAGTCATACTTGATTTGTCTAAATCATTTTCAATCTCTTTACTGAGTTGGTTAAGAGTTTCTTCATTCATAATAAAGACATTCGTATTCACTTTTATTTCATTCTTGATAAGAATAGAACTCAATATTTCTTTGATTCCACTTTGTTTAATTACTAATTCAGTAAATAGAGTTAATAACTTTTTATACTCTTCATCTTTTAATCCTTCTTCAATACTCTCTAATCGTGCAATTCCTAATAATTGTTTTGGCCCTTCTTTTGTTGCCAATTCAATAGCATTTTCTTCCCATTTAACATATTTATTAACCCCACATATAACTTTCATCGCATTGTTTCGAGTTTTTTCATCTTCTAATAATTCAATAAGTTCTTTAATACTTTGTTCAGAACATCTTTCAATATTCTTTTCTTCCTTTACAACCACTGTACGAGTTGTATTTGTTATAAAACTTGGTTCTTTTTTTATTGGTTCTTGATACTGTATTTCAGAATCTCCTGAACTAATTTGAATGACTATTTCCCCCATTTCAGAAAGATAACTTCCTATATTCTTGAAAATAGGAACTTCAGTACCATTAATAAATACATTAACTGAATATTTTTTATTCATAAGCCAATTGATTGATTGTTTCATTGAATCTTGGGCGTAGGGATCATTTAATAAATCCTTTATAGAGTCTAGCACTATTTTACTTATTGGGGTCGTGTGTTCATATTTTCTTAGATTTAACTTGTCAGATTTATCCATAAAATGGAATGTCCTTTCAATATCTTGTTGAGCACTTTCAATAAGTACCTTAGTGACTTTAGTTAATGAAGACATAACCTTTAAACTTGCTAACATTTTCATTTGAATACTTGGTATAGAACAAGGCTTGTCTTCTCGAATTGTTCTCTTAAGACTAATCCATCTAATATTACATGAACGTGTTTGTTTAACATCATCTTTAATAATAGTTTTTGGTGACGAATATCTTTTTAATACACTTTCAATACAATTAGCTCCTTGTGCTGTTGGATTAGATTTAAATGCTTCTATTCCATCTTGAACAAATCTTAATTGCATCTTTTGATATAAAACTTCTAACAACTGTTCAATTGACCATTCTCCTGTAATCATAAGCATCTTCCATAATAGATTAAGTCCATAAACTCCTTCAAATTTTATTGAGGTGATAATTCTTTGTTCAAAGTCATAAATAATTGATCGAGTAACTAAAACATTATATTGAATAAACACTTCTTTAACAAATGAGGATGCACTTGAAGGTAATTCTTTTCTTTCTTCTAAAATATTTAATGCAAATTCAGCTCGTTTATTGTTCCACTCTCCTCTAATCCATTTCATTGCACCAGTAAATCCATCAGAATCAATAATACACATTAAACAAATTTTAAATACAGAGTCATCACTTTTACCAATCAACTTAATTGGCTCTCCAAGATTTGGTACTTCTTTTACAAATGCTTCTTCAATCATTTTATTTATTTCATCGGCATCTCCACCAAAAGGAGAAGTTGAAGCAAGAACTGTTAAAACAATACTCATTCTAGGATCATTTGTTTTATCTTTAAATGCACCGATGATAATTCTTTTTAAAGGTATTATATATGAATTAATAGAACATATTTTAATAATATCTTCATTTAATTCTTGGATATGTTTAACTATTAAACTAAATGAAGTAACAATTTGTTGTGAAGGTAATGCTTGTATTTGAATTAATTTACATAACATATGAAGTGCAGGTAAATTTCCCTTTTGTGAATTTTCTAATGTAGAATGGATAATATGATTTTTTTCAATAGATGACATTGAATTAAATACACTAATAACAATATCTTGAGCACGTAATAATATAGTCCCTCCAATTCTTTCTGCATTATCACACATAGATTTAATAAAATGTGGACTTAATAGTTTATTACTATTAATATGTTCTATAACAGGAATTGAATGTCTAAGTAATTCTTCATGAGGACATTTAATAATAAGATTTAATATATCTTGTGAATGGAATTTTAAAAAGGATAATAGTTCATTCTTTGTTGCAACTTTATGATTTGTTTTAATATTTTGGTTAGACCCTTTTTTCTCTGGTTTTGTACTTCTAAACAATGATATGAATGATCTTTTCATTCCAGAATTCTCATATTCTTCAAATTCATTATTAATTGCTATTAATGCTTTGATTTGGAGATCAACTCTATTACTATTAATCCCTTTATTAATATCTATTATTCTATGACTAAAATCATCTATATTTTCTTCTTCTTTTTTGATTTTTTCTATTGAATCTGACATCTTTTATTTATTACAATTAATTTCACCTTTTTTAGTTCATTTCCAAATTTTTGAATTATATTCTTTCTAAAACCATAAAACCAATTATATTCTAATTCAATAATTCAATATTCATTTACCATGTATTTTTAATCCATTCAATAACTTTATCTAAATTTTGTTCTTTTCCCATAACTTTAATAGCTTCTATATTTTTTGCATCAGCAATATCTACTTCAATAGGAAGATGAGGGTCTAATCTAAAATAATTATTTTTAAACATCATTCTTGATTCTGCTACTCCCATTTCTTTTCTTGCAAATATATTAAAGTCCGATAATTTTATTAACCATTGAATAAGTCCAGCATTTCCCATTTGTTCTATATCATAATAAGGAACTGTTGGATATCCAGACCCAATTGAAAGTGCAACTATATTTTCTTTAGCTATATTTAATCCATTTTCTCCTATTATTAAAGGATATGTTAAATAAAATGGGTTATTAACTAATAAACTTCCATCTACATGATTATTTAATGGATCAAAATATCCTGGTGCTGCTGCTGATTGTAAACAAATATTTTTAAGATCTTTATCATATGTTTCTTTCATAAAATTATTATACAACATTGCTTTTGATGTTCTTTTAGTATCATCTTTTCCTGTGTCAATAAGAAATGACTGAATACAACAATTTCTTGGAAGATCATTAATAGTAAGATTACCTAATAATCTTTCACCCATCACCTTTAAAAATTTATTTGTAAATTGATGCCCAGCAATTCCAGCAAGGTGTGATTCATTTTTAAATGTTTCTAAAGAGACTGCTTCCATGACTTTTATAACAAATTCCATATCTAATCCAAGTAATATTGAAACAGAAACTAATGAACTTGCACTAAGTCCTGTTACTAAATCAATTTTATCAAAGAAATCAGGAATTTCTTTAATTATTCTTTTTAATAATACACATTGATAAATACATTTAACTCCTCCTCCATCAAGTGATAATACTCTAAATTTTTCTCCTGAATGATATTCTTTTTTTTCTAATTTCTTTGAATAAACGATTTGTTTCATTAGTTCATCAGCAATAATACCATACCTTGTAATTCTTTCTTCATTAGATTCAAATAAAATTCTAATTTATTAAGTCGTTTTTCCTATTAACAAATAAAATAACAAACGGATTTGAAATTTTTTTCTTTTTATCTATTTTCTTTCCTTTCTTTTCTTTTTCATCATTTTCACTATCTGAATCACTCTCAATTTTTTTTTCAATAAAATCAATAATAAAAGAAAAAATACTTTCTTTTTTATCACTTGACTTTCTTTCGGCTGATGAACTTCTCTGAATAACTTCTTCTGTTTTAACATCAATATCATCTAGTCTTTTTAATGAACTTGTAATACTAGAACAACTAGAAACACTATTTCTACGTTTTTTACTAATAAATGAAATAGATCTTTGATATTCATCTAATGCTTCAATGCAAAGTTGTGAACTTATCCCAGTCATTTTACTTGATTTTCTATATCCTTTAGAAGATTTTGATTTCTTTGATCCTTTAGTAGTTGTAATTCTTATATTTGTTGATGGGTCAAGTCTTTTCCTTTCAACACAAATTTCATCAGACATTATTGCATAGTCCCAAGGAGTTAATCCTTTTATTGTTTTTAATGTTACATTAGCATTATTATCTAATAACCTATTAACAACAAAACTATTTGAATTTAAACAACCTATATGCAATGCAGTTTCTCCTAATTCATTTTGGGCATTAATAACATCTTTATCTTTCAACATTTGATTAATAAATTTTTCATAAACCTCTTTATTTCTTTTGTTAATTCCAATTTCACAAAGATAATGTAAAACAGTATTACCTTTTTTATCTGCTAAACGATAATTAACAGACTTATTAATAAGATATTCAATAATATTCCATTGTTGGTTTTGTATTGCTACATAAATGCATGACTTTCCATAAATATCTTGATAATTTAGTCTATGTGGAAATTTTTCAATAATATATTTAACTAACTGTAAACAACTATAATGTGAATGAATGTGTTTCTTTCTTTACTTTTTATTAAATATTTTCTATCTAAGTAACAAACTTATTTTTACATGAACTAAACAATAGTCTAAGACCACGAGAAGATCTTCCAACCCAATTATTATTTTGTGTTTCTAATTTTTTAATTACTTCATCTCCTCTACCATTTTCAATGAGAGTAATATATTCATGTATATTTGATGAATCATCCATGATTGACATTCTAATATTACCCAAAATATATTTTACTTTTTAGATAAATTTTTAAGAAATTATAAATCATCAGATAACAAAAATCATCCAATCCTTCTTTTAAATTCTTTTATATAACTGCTTTTGAAACAAATAATATTCGTTAAATAAAAAAACAAAAAAGTCAATTATTCTTACTTTTTGATTGTTTTTGAGATGGTTTAAATTTATGTAAATATTCAACATATCGATTTACAAAGACTTCAAAATAATAATTGGCACCATTCCATATGGCATAAACAAAACAAAAGAGCATCCAACAAGTTTGAACTTTTTTATTATTATAAAGATAAAATTGGGGTAATGTTGTGGCAAAATACATTCCAAATTGAGTAATAACCATGACAGTTAATGATGACACTTTTTCAGGGAAAAACTTTCTCATAAATAAAACAGCTTTATGAGGTTTTTCTTCTACTAACCAACGAACAGAAGTCATATATCCTTCATCATAAATTAAATCTCGTTTAAAGATTTCTGTATAAATTAAATAAAAACTTTGCCATGTAGAATAAAATAGTAATGGAAATAAAAACCCATTATAAAAGTTTAATTCTTTTGGAATATCTAAATCACTATACCATCGAATACAATAGGCAACCATTCCTGGTAATAAGTGAATTGTTATTGAAGTTAATTTAGTTAAATCATGAAAAACTAATGCATTATTCCACATTGGAATAGCTGTGAGTAATGGACCAAAAATTACTACAAACAATGTTGGAAAAATCCAACTAATGTTTTGTTGTAAAAAGAATGCTCTTATACAACTTATAATTAAAACACAATTTGTAAAATAGCAAAAATCTAATAAGAAATAATGCCATTTATTCATTCGATACACTAAGTATCTTCCTGTTACCAATGGAATTACAAGACACATATAAAATATATGCATTAAGTCTGGTCTTACTAATATCACATATTCTCCAATTGTTAACAAACAAACTCCAATAACAAATGTAACTTTATCTAATAACTTAACATTACCAAGTTTAAATGAGTGAATATAATTAAGTTGTTCTTCTGTTAATGTCATAAACATAACTGGTGTCTCTTGTTGTTGAGAATTTGAAGAGTTTAAAAAACGCGTATCAAAACTTTTTTGTGTATCGTCATTAATCATTCTGAAGTCAATCAATTAGATCCAGGGTTAATGAAGAAACCTTTTTATTATTTGCTGATGTGGTGGGTTTTGGTTTGGTTATTTGGTGATGTTTATTTTCTTAAGTTTATTCCTTTCATTTTCTCCTGTGACTTTCTTTTGTCTCAAAAATACTTTTAACTTTCTTTCTTTTCAAAAATTAAAGATATTTTTCTTGTATATATTATTTATTCTTATTAATTTACTTATTTTTATTAATACAATGACAGGTAATTCTTTAGAGATTAAACTCTATTTAATTATCATTCTTTTCAAAGGATATAATAAAAATCTAAAAAAAAAAATCAATTCTCTTCATTCTTTGTCTTTTTTGAGTCATTTAATGACGTTATAATGAAACATACATCGATGTTATTAAAGTTATTTGTTAATTATCAGAATATTACTTATTTAGAGTCTAAAAAAGATAGTCATTATTTTTGAATAAAATTTTCTTTGAATTGATTGTTTTTTTTAATGATAGAAAGAACCTAAGTATAAAAAAGATTTCATTTTTAGTAAACACTTTTTGATAAGTAGTTTTCACGAGAAAGTTATCTTTTTAAACATGAGTTTAATTGGTTTTACAAAAATATAAGAGTTTACACCGTCTAATACTATTTATGTAACAAACCATAGAATTTTCTTATTTAATTTTTTGTTAAGTTCAGTGTTCAACATCTGATTATTTTTGTTGTAAATAATAAGAGTAACCGATCGATTATTTTTATAAGGATTACTTTCATTTAAGATTTTATCAGAATATAATTATTGAATTTATTATCACTAATTAGAGATTAGTATTTCTGGTATAGTATCATCGATGATTTTATCTGATTTGAGAGAATATAAAAATTATTGATGGAGTATATTTTTAATTTTTAAGTTGTTTAACACAACAATTTGAAAACATAGAATTTTAATATCAATATGTATTAATAAAAATGACATTCTCAAACTAAACTTAAAACATCATTTAAAGTTTATATAAATCATTAAAAAAAAGATAAATAAAAAAATTTATATTTTTTATTTCTGAAACATTCTTTGAAGAGTATGAATTAATCTTTATCTTCTAAGGGGTTTAATTTGTTATTTATAATTATTAACTGTTCTGTAATTCATTTTAATTCACTTTATATTTCAAATAAAACTTTAAAATTGAATATAATAATAAAACAGAATTATGAATTTATCTTTTTTGACTATTTAAGTGGTTCTCCTGTTATAAATGACTTAATTAGTAAATGACTTTTAAGTAAATATAGAAGAAATAAAAATTTTAATAAAAAATAAAGAGAGTCAATTAGAATTTATTTATTTCTCATTAATACTTTTTGCAAATTCTCTTGATAATATAGATCCTTCCATTGCATTTATTCCACGACTAAGATCGGCTTCTGGAACAACTTTAAATTGTTTAGTGTTTATAAATAATATATCTGTATTATTTTCAATAACTAAATTAGTTAATTCTCTTTCAACTGATGAAATAATCGAATATGGATGTTTATAACCTGTTTGGATATATTCATTATTTCCTGTTTTTTCTATAATTGCTGTATAGATTCCTCCAACAACTTGTTTAATAACTATACTATACGTTTCATCAACTTTCCCTTCTTTTTCAGTGTTGATGTATATCACACAATCTCCTTTTTTATTTGAATACTCAAACTCTGCTAATCCTACTCTTTTGATACCATAAAAATCATTTTCTCTAATAATTATTTTAGTCCCTAACATCTCATCAAAAACTTCTTTTTCTTTTTCTTTTTCTTCTCCTTCTTTCATTCCTTTCATTATTTCATTGAATTTCTTATTGACTATCCTACATTTGATATTTAATTTAAGTGTTGTAGGTTCCTCTTTATAAAACTTGTTTAATTCTTCTTTCTCAAACAAAATACATTTGTCTTCTTTCTGTCCAATCATATTATAAATATTTGCTGATATCATTGAATTATTCCATCTCTTCTCTGGTTCACTCTTATGTTCTTCCATTTTCTTAATATTGATAACCATTTGATCTTTTTTTATAACTTCAATATGCTTTTTTTCAATATATTTTTTGATAGTTTGTGGCACTTCTCCATTTTCAATTCCTTTAATAAACAATTCTTTTCTTTCCCAACTTCCTTCAATCTCTTTCTTTTCTAAAAATGATCCTCGAATTTTAATTGAATGAATCCCAGTCCAATTTCTAATAACACATTGTGCACTTCCATCCATTTGGTCAATAATTGTAATTAATCTATCCTTACTTCCAAAAACCCGAACTTGTTCAATATCGACTTTTTTGATTAACTCTTTTTCATTTTCACCAACACCCATATTTCCTGCTTTACAAAAATAATATAAATAATATTTATACATATTGTCAATTTCATCCCTTGTACAATTACATGACGTTATTCCAGTAAACAACTTCGTCATTTCAGTAAAGTGTTTTGTTGCTACTTCTGGAGTTAGTGTAACAAGTGTAATTAATAAATGAAGATATTTGATCATTAATCCTCGTGTTAATAGGGATTGTAACTTACTAATGATTGGTGTAATGCACTGTACTACTTTCTCAATAAATTCACCTAATTTTTTATTTGGATCCATTTCAATAACATAGAGTGTTGTACAAACAATACTTAAAACATTTAATAGGGAATTCCATTTGCTTTCAAAAATCTTTTTCATTTTAATACTTTCTTCTATCATTTTATGAACAAGCCCTTCATGATCATTCATTGCAATGATAAATTGAATTAAAATCTGTGCCATCTCTCTTCTTTGTATAGAACAAAAATCTTCAATATATGTCCCAATAACATTGAAATATTGATCTTGTTGAATTGGCTCATTAGTGTATTTAGTCATTAATTTCATAATCAAAATATAGTATGTTTCAACTAATTCTCCAATCCTCTTATCCTTAATAGTAACTAACTTCGGATGATAGAATTTTAATGATCCTAAAACACATAAAACTGATTTAAGGTCTTCTGCCCTATTACTCTTTTGAACAATATCAATCATCCTATCCAAAATAGTTTGAAAAACTTCTATTAAAGTTTCATAACATAATCTCTCTCTTACTCCAACACATTCAATTCCATCTGAAATATTTTGTAATAAACGAATAACAATGTCATTATTTTTATTTTTTAATCCTTGAAGGAGATAATGTATCATTCCTGAAAATACTTCTCTATCACTAACAACATATTTAATATTACATGTATAAAAAGAAATCATTGTTGAGTTATTCTTTACATAAACATCATTCCCAACAATACTTTTATCATTTTTACTAAATAAAGTTTGTGTATAAAAAAATAATGGTGAATATAATTTATGAATTGTTTTAACTGTCATTGTTCTACTAGTGTTTGCCTCAATAAATAATGTTCTATTACACTCATTCAAACTTTCTATCATATTTTTAAATTCCATTATTTCAACATCATTCATTTCTTGAATATATTTTGGTAATTGAGGTTGCTGAATACAAGAAAGTAAAGTTATCCAAATCACTCGTATAGTCTTTGAGTCTGTTCTATTGGAATATCCTTCATTATCAATTATTACATTCTTCATCCCTGGATTTTTTAAAATAACCCCTTGAATAGTTTTTATATATGAATTAAATACCTCTCGATATTCTTTGTTATTAAGAAATTCTGGACAGAATTTAATAAACTTCTTATAAATTATGTTATCTACCCCATTTTCTATGATACAACTTAATAACATTCTTGTTA